ATTATTATTATTATTATTATTATTATTTCTGTGATAATTACCATAATTACTATTCGGATGTCTATTGTTATTCATTCATTCATTCTCCGTTACAACTGGGTTTAGCTTAAGTACCGAGCACCTTAAATCAATATCCGTATTGACTAGGGGACTCTACAGTATATGTGCGTGAAGTTCTGTATAAAGAACAATTATCTCCTTCATAGACCCATGTGATATTTCCGATCAAACATTTGTTGGCTGTAGGGCTGTGTCAGTTATCACTGTTTTCGCAGTTGAATCTAGAATGTTCCTAGATACTTGCATAAGTGTTGGGCCCCCTTAGCCCTTGTACCGCGACCACAGTGATCTTACTGTGCCTTTCTTACTTACTTACTTACTTACTCATCGAGCTGAGCCCTTCTGGAGGAGCCGCCAATTCTGCAGCTACTCGAGAGTTTCCCAGCATTTTATGGAACCCGAAGGTTCATTACCGTGTTCACAAGAGCCCCCCACTGGTTCCTATCCTGAGCCAGACCAATCCAATTCATACCATCCCATCCTATCTCTCTAAGATCAATTTTAATATTGTCCACCCACCTATGCCTTGGTCTTCCCAGTGATCTCTTTCCTTCTGGCTTTCCCACAAATATCCTATATGCATTCCTTTTCTCACCCATACTTGCTACATGCCCTGCCAACCTCATCCTCCTTGACTTGGTCATTCTAATTATACTTGGAGAAAAGTACAAGTTATGAAGCTCCTCAGTTTTCTAGAATGTTCTTAGACAGCTCTAGATACACGTAGTTCTTGGTACTATAGGAATCTTCTAATATGATTTATGCGAAAAATCGAACTTCTTAAACCATGCACACTTGGTATTGGTATTGTTGTTGTTGTTTCACAGACACATAGATCATAGACCTCACTGTTTAATTATTGTAATGTACGCTACGTGCGTATTTTACGGCACGTCAAGTAAAACAATTCTTTATTCTATGCATCTGCATGTAAATGCATTGAAGGAGTCATAGAAAGTCATTGAATATAACTATTTGAAATAATTATTTAAACTTTTTCGTACAATGGAGCTGTTGCTACATAAATTGACCTTGTATTACAGTGAATGACATTTGATCGATCTAAAATATTTTATCATTACTTATTTTGTAGTTTCATTGGTATATTTCTTGAGGCAGACAGGTCTACAGCTGGAACTGTTTGAGCTGTGTAACTATCTTCCTCGGCATAAGCTTACCCTTGCAGTAAAAGAGCGGCAGTAATTCGCAGTGGCTTGGATATTTCCACACAAACGCGTAAAGCGCCTTCAGTCGTTAAAAGATGCTGGCAGAAGAAAACGAATCTGTTGGTTCCACTGTGAAATCCAAACTTTATAGGAAAGGTTCTGCTTATTGTTTAAAACGTGGAAAGAAAAAGGAGAGGGAAGTTCCTCATCCCCTTCTTGGACCGCAGCATTTCTTGTTTCACCCTCCATTTCTCACGCGAGCATGCTCAGCTAGTCTCGTAACAAATTCGTCGCCCTTGGCCATATTTTAGTGGTGA